CCCTCTGCCCAGTACCTCTCTGTACGTTCTTCAAGCACTTGCCAAAGACCAATCTACCCAAAGGTGAGGAAAGGAATACTCCTCCATGAAAACAATTGCCAGTCTTAAGGCTGTTTTTCCATTAGCAAATGTATTTCTAAGAGGTCATCTGAACCCTACAAAATGAGTAGCTTTCTGATAATAAATTTCATTTTCAGAAAGTCCTATACTAAGCACTATAAATGCCCTAAGGAAAATTTTTGTTAAAATGCACAGGCAGGGTGCAGTGGCTCATGCCTGTAATCCCAGCACTCTCTGGGAGGCTAAGGTGGGTGGATTGCCTGAGCTCACAAGTTCGAGCCCAGCCTGAGCAAGAGCAAGACCCCATTCCTAAAAAAAAAAATAACTGGTCATTGTGGCAGGTGCCTATAGTCCCAGCTACTCGGGAGGCTGAGGCAAGAGAATCACTTGAGTCCAAGAGTTTGAGGTTGCTGGGAGCTATGACATCACAGCACTCTACCCAGGGTGACAGCTTGAGACTCTGCCTCAAAAAAAAAAATTTACAAGCACATAGTTACGGAATTTCCCTATGTCACTATCATACACGTTAATACTTTTAACATACCCAGTTAAGGAGGTACTTCACTTCACTGGAGACTCTAGGTTCTGGAAGGAGTTCCAAAGATGGAGAGTCAGCCTTTGATAACTGAAGGCAACACTCCATTAAGCTGGTAATAGCGTTTTCCAAATATCTTACCTTGTTCTCTATAGATCTACAAAGGCACGAGTACCCAGTATAACAGGGGCTCTGCAAAAAGAATATGGCATTCCTGCCTCAGTGACGGAGGCGGTAAGGAAGAGGTGGGAGCTGACTGGGACCCTCACAGTAATTATTTAACACTGATAGAGAGAACAGCCTTCCTCTCACGCACATTTCTAGCAAAAAATTTAGATGGGTAAAGCATGTTCTACAAACAGATGAGTTTTCCTGGAGCAGTAGAGAAGAGTAGCAGCAAATAAAGAACCTGGGGGAATAGAGGGGCTCGACAACAAGAGGTGTGGGCTGCTGAGAGTCTCTGGGTAGGCAAGGGCCCCAGCAGTACTGAAGAAACAGTATTAATGAGGCAGAGTGTGGTCAAAGAGGAAGGATGTCTGCAGATGAAAAGGCAGGCATGCTGGTCCCCTGCAGTCACGAGGAACCTAGGCCAGTGTGCCAGACAGCTGGAGGATTTCAAAAAGATGAACAAAAGTTTGAGAGCAAAAGTCATTTTGCATGAAAACAACATGGAGTGAGCTGCTGTGTGCCAGGTGAGAGGAACACTGCCACTGTCACAGAACCCTCAGAGTCCCAGGGAAGGCAGACATCTCAATGGATAATTGCACAAGCAAGAACAAGGAGAGTGACACAGTAGGGCACACAGGTGTCGTGTGCACACAGAGGAGGGGCACTGTGCCCAGCCTTGGCAATTCAGAAGACTTCTAGGAGCACAGGACACCTGAGCAGAGCCATGAAAGACGAGTGTGTCGGTCTCCCATGAATGCTGTAACAAAAGACCACAATCTTGGTGGCTCATGCCTATAACCCTAACACTCTGAGCTCAAGAGTTTAAGGCTGAGGTGGACAGATTGCTTGTGCTCAGAAGTCTGTCTCTACTAAAAGTAAAAAAAAACTAGCTGGGTGTTGTGGCGGGCACCTATAATCTCAGATATTCAGGAGACTGAGGCAGGAGAATTGCCCAAGAGTTTGAGGTTGCTGTGAGCTATGATGAAGCCACAGCACTCTACCCAGGGTGAGAGAGTAAGACTCTACAAAAGAGAACAAAAACACAAAAAACAAAAATTTATTTCCTCACGGATCTGGAGGCCAAAAATACAAAGCCAAGGCGTTGGCAGAAGACCCCTCCTGGCGGCTCTAGCTGCTCCCTGGCTGGTGGCAGCACAGCTTCTATCTCTGTCCGTCTTCCCGTGGCCTTCCCCGAGTGTCTCCCCTTCTAATGGCATTGCTGCTTACAAGGACACCTGTCACTGGATTTAGGACTCACCTGGTTAGTCAAATATTGTTATCTCAAGATCCTTACATCTCTTTGCAGACCCTCTTTTTCTAATATTGTCATGTTCCCTTCCCAGAGTCCACGCCAAGGGTAGGACTTAGACGTGTCTCTTAGTGGCCCATGCAATGCACTACAGTGGGCAATGTGCAAAAGAGCAGCATTCTGATGTGAACAAAATGCGTGGAGAAAACAAATGGTATCAAAACAACTAGCTACCATCAGAACATGAAGAAAAGAGTCAAGTGGAACACAGATAAAGCAACTGAAACCGTATACAATCATCCTCCCTTATCTTTAGATACACGCTGAAATCCCCAGTGGATGCCTGAAACCACAGATAGTACTGGGCCCTATTTAGACACGATGTTCCTTCCTATGTAGTAATGATGGACGAGACAAAGGGATAATTCACATTACAGGGGCAATGAAACAGCGTAATGCAAGATTTCGTCACGCTACTCAGAACGATGAACAAATTTAAAGCTTATGAACTGCATATAATGCCAGACTTATTTCTAAAATTTTCCATTTAAATTTTTGGACCACAGTTGACCATGAGTAACTAAAACTGTGGAAAGCAAAACTGCAGATACTTGTGCCACAGGGCACAATTTGTGTTCACAAAGCCCTGTCACAGGATGATACTTCATTTGAGCCAACTAATATCCTTTAAAGTAAGCACTTGGGTTAGTCAATTCTTTCTCATAATGAGAGGGAGGCAGAAAGATTCAGCAACTCTGAACACACATGCCTATGGAATGGCTGAATTTGAATTTGCACCCAAGATGTGCTGCTCAAAATCATATCTATTTTGCCACATTACACTGTACCCATCTCTTTAATGTTGTTATATTAAAACATAAATTCATGAGTGAAATTAATCATTAGAAGAGTTGGGTGGGCTCACGCCTATAATCCCAACCACCCCAGAGGTCGAGTAATATGGATCACTTGAGGCCAGGAGTTCAAGACCAGCTTGGGCAATATAGGTAGTGAGACTCTGTCTCTAAAATTTTTTTTAAAGTCATAGTTGTGCTCTTCTATGGTCCAGCTATTTGGAGACTGAGGCAGGAAGATCAATGGAGCCCAGGAGTCCAAGGCTACAGTGAGCTATGATCATATCACTGCACCCCCGGCTGGGCAACACGGTGAGACCCTGCCTCTAAAAATAATAATAATCATGAATAGGTTCATGTTTTAAAGAACCGTTATTCCTATCTTGAAACCTGGGAAACACATTGCTATAATCCCTCTAGAGAAAACAGTAGGTTTCACTTAAGGTCAGAAGCAGATCCAGGAAAAAAACTCCAGGTCTCTAATCCTTAACACTTCTGATCAAGTGCCCCCAAGCCCGGTGCAGAGGGCGTTTGGAGAACGCGTGTTAAGAGCACCTCGCGTGTTAAGAGCCGGGCCTCTCACAGGAGGCGCCACCTAAACATCTATTTCCTTCTCACGCTCCGGGCCTCAAAACAGTGCGAGATAGTTAGTAAGGAGATGAGCTGTGGCCAATGTGCCAAGTCACCTTCAGGGTCAGCAAAGCAAGGCTCAATAGACAAAGCCGGGGCCAGGAGGTGCCGGTAAAATAATGACTGCTTAACACAAAGACTATAAATATTCCCTTCACATCCTCTACACACCGGCAGTTCTGAAGGAATGTCTCTGCCTGTTGATCTCTTTCTTCTCTGTAATTCCAGCACAAGAAAACTGACAGGCATGGAGAACAAATAGATGGGCGGCTGAGGTTTCATTCATATGTTATCATTCAGGCCAGGAACCAGGGGCGCTCCTGGAAGGAGGCTGAGACAAACACTTGACTGGGAGACCTAACAGCTGCCATGCTTCTGTGGCAGAGACCCCAGTGGGCGATGGAGGGCGGAGCAGCTGGGGGGCAGCGGGAGAGCAGCCAGGACGGTCAGCAGCAGCAGTAATCAGAAGTCCCACCTCCCTTTTCTCAGAGGTAAATTGGACCTAGGAGCCTCTCTACCAGGAGTAAATAAATCAGTCACAC